TCAAGAAATGGGACCAGGGGGAGGAAGGAACTAGGTCCAACAGTGTACCTCCTGTCTCTTATACACATCTAGATGTGTATAAGAGACAGCCTCGGGGCCCTATTCCAACCTCGGGTCCCGTGAGGGGCCCGTGTGTAGGCTTTCAGCATGTAACACAGAGTGAAGGGTGATGAAGAGAATACAAAGAGAGAAAAAAAGGGAAGTAAGGGAAGGTACGGAGTGTGGAATGAGGACAACAAACGAGGGGCTGTGACAAATATGTATGTATATATATAGTCACATAACTACGAACTAACAAAGCGCACTTTGCGAAACAAACGCTAAAGATTAAAAAAAAAACAAAGATGAGGGGCACACCGAAACGATTTATTTTCGTCATTCTTCTTTGAGCTCCCCTTTCGCTGCACCTCTCACGTATAAGACTTGCCACGTTGAGATGAAGTTGAGTGAGAGCTGCCCGCATCCCCGTGTGCCATAACGGCCCACTTGTACGCTGTAAAGGCAGAGTAAAGGGGGAGGTGATAAACACGAGGAAGAGATGAAGAGAGGACAAAGAGAGACAAAAGGGAAGTAAGGGAAAGTACGGAGTGTGGAATAAAGATGAAGGCAAAGTAGAGGTTTAGAAAAGGCTCAAGAATGAGTCTGACCTTGATGACAGAGAGGACATAACCTGTCTCTTATACACATCTAGATGTGTATAAGAGACAGGCCATAGCCAGCCTGCTGAGGGCTTGCCATAGCTGGGGCATCCCCTGCGCATCAACCCCTGTGGGTTTCTGCGAGTGGCTGGGCTGTGTGGAGACCTGTCTCTTATACACATCTAGATGTGTATAAGAGACAGGTGAAAGGAGGCGAGGAAGGTGAAGAGAAGAAGAAGGTTGGTGAGGGAGAGAGAAGCCGGCAGCCATAGCTGACCGGAGGGTTGACCGAGAGAGTTGACCGGCGTTGACCAAGGCGTTGACCAAGACTTTGACCAAGCTGGAGTTGGTAACATCTCGCCAAACCCTCAGCCTATCCCTTGCCCTATGGNTTTTTTTTTTAAAGAACACCCCTTTCAGTGTTAGTGCTGCTGATAAGAGCAGACAGCACTACCACAGGAGGAGAGGCTCCATCTATTGGTGGGGAGCATCACCTGCTGGAAATCGGGTCCAGCGTCCCATTACACATGAAAAAAATGATTTGGAATATCCTGGCTGTGTGCGAGTGGCCATGATTCCTGCCAGCATTGATTGCCCTGCCAAATCAGGGG